TTGTTCTCTTATTCAGTGTTAGTAGGCTGTTTGAATGAAAGGAATGAACAACCATGTTGCTAATGTGTCTAGTTTGCTTGTATTTTATCTGCTGGTTTTAGGACTTGGTATTGTTGGGTAGTGTTTGCTTTTTTTGTTTTTTTGAGACCAGCTTCGATTAGGGATGGGGTGGGGGGGGGAAGGGGCTTGGCCTTGCCAGTTTTTTAGAGCAAATCTAGAGGGGTCATGCTTTTTTTAGTTTTCCTTGGAAGGGGTCAAAACGTTTTGTTGTGCTTTCTGATGGATCCGAGTGATATCTTTTTCCTCGCATACGGTATTTCATAATCATATAAATTGTTGTAGTCATGTTGTTAGATACCTTATCTATATCTCACTATTACTAGTACAGGCGAACTTCTATATTTGATGGGCTGTCTCAGCAAACGTCAATCAGCCAAAAAAGTAGACAGCAGACGCTTCCCGGAAGGCTTTTATCGGCTTTCAGATCTTCGTTTCGCCTTCTCCTTTGAAATGTAATTTAGGCTAGCCAAGCAAAACGAAAATGTCGAAAATACATGTGAAAATAGAGCTCGGTCTTAGGTTAAACGTCCCGAACATCTTCTCATAAAAACGTGATGAGTTGAATTCTTTCTTTGAACGTTCTTAATTCACTGAACAAAGTCTAAAAATCGACGTCCATTAATCTCCTAGTTTCAGTACCACATGTATAGTCTTGGATTATGTCATATGCAGTTTGCATCAATAACGTATCAAAAACATCAATAACGCTGTTTGCTTCAATAAGGAAAGCAGACTCTTTACATATTATAATGTATAATTTAAAGACATGATAAACTGTGAAATATTATACCCATAACAACAATGCGTGAATGTTATAAAAACGTGAAAGCTATTTTCATGGGAAATGTCGGTGATAATGTTATGGTCTATTATGTCGCTTCAGTCCACTTGTTGATTGCGTTTTTAATGTTACTGAATTTGGTTAAATTAAAATACTGCCAGTAGAACTTCTTTTTTCTTGATTACCTTTCACTAAATTTGCGTGACTTCTGATGATCTGATGAAGTCAGTTCACAAGATTCGCGTGAGTTACAGACAGTTCGCTGATGCATAAAAGTTGATGAGTTCATGGTAATTTTATTTCTCATTTTTAGCATAGAAGATTCCTTTTCCTAACGTCTATATCATTGACCTCTTTTTAATTGTTTAATATTTCTGTTTCCTTCTGAACGCACAACACCATTATCATGTAAATGTGAACTGGGTGCGAAAGAAATAAAAACATCAAAGCAAGAAAACTAAGCAAAATTTATACGCACACTTTACGCAGCGTAAACCAAACCCTAGACTTGAGATCTATAAAGTATTTCAGGATCGCTTGACCTGTCTTAATCGACATATGATAGTTTAGATTTGCTAGAAGCTTTCGATTTTATGAAATTTACTGATAATATGGGACTGCCAACATAAACCACAAAACAACACGTGACAATGTCACATGATATTTGGTTAGTCACATGACCCGTGGAAAGGGAAATATGGATTTCAGTCGCGAAAGAATCGCCAAGGGATTACCTCTGGGCTTTGTTTTCTCTCACGGTTCCTCTAAGGGTTAACTAAAACCCTTTTAAAGGTTTGTTAGGATTTCCAAGTTCATAATTTAAGAAAAAAATTTTAACTAACTCACAAGAATTGACAAGCAGCTTTTGCAACCAATGTCCTAATCATTTTGCTAGCCGTGTATTCGTGTGATCTCTACAGAAGGTTTTCAAACATAATGTTTCTTCAACGAGCGTATTATAGTTATATTTCCTGACGGTGAGAGCCTAACAAATCTCACGATTTTTAAATTGCGGCTTACTTAACATTAATTTTACTTTAAGAAGAAACAATTGTTCATTACAAGTGTCTGACGGCTACTCCTCGTTTCTAATGACAATGCTTTTATTTTGCTTCTCAGAATTGAGAATTGCACTAACGCAGTTCAATTTCTGACTTATTTTTATGTCTTGTTGTATAAGCCGCTATTCATTTGTCCTGGTATAGGAGAATTATGACCATGACATCTGTTTATTTTACAGAAAAAATAAATGTATCGTCTATTTGGAAGAACTGGAAGCCCTTTAGACGATTATTGCGTGACTCAAATCACTGGACCTTTTAGGCAATGTCACGCACTATCAGCCCTGAAAGGATGTAAATAGATGTTTGACTTGTTTGTTGAGATTGTTGGCTAGATAGTTAGCTGTTTAAAAACGATAATGATGAAAGTTAATGATCTATTTTAGCAATCAGTACTTTTCTTGAACTGGCAGCTCTTATAAACTACGGTACATAAATATTTCAATCTAGCTAAGTCGCAAGCTGACAAACATGTAAAGGAAGAAAGTTCCTTTGGCCAGTGGAACAGTAAAAATAATCAAAGGAGCAATTTATGTTATTTTAAAATACTAACTATTCACAAAGTCAACCCTCCAAGTCCTAAGGTTTAGGGAGACTTTTTTACAAATCAAGTCACCAGCTTGGTCACAACTTGGAGGGTTGAAACTGCAAACAGAATAGAAAATATATAGAAATTTTCCTTCACAGATCAAAATACAGTGTACAACCTGTGACCATGCTAATTGTCTTTTAACTTTTTGCAGGTCCACCAAGCCAGGAGTGGAGCTATCCATGCTGCAGATTGCTGACTTTGGGTAATGCAGTGGACCTGTTTGAAGTTGTGAAGATGTTTAGATTTTTAAATATTCAGTTTGTTTAGTGAATAATGTAACTGATTTATGAGCTACATTTTGTCTTCCAGATCTTTTTGCTTGTAATCATGGACTCACTGAAATCAACCTCAGTGAATAGTAAGTTAAAAGGCTTACTTTTATGGTATCAAGTGCTGTTCTAAATGTATAACATGATAAGTCCATTTGCTCTTTTAGTAATCAGGGTTGTCAAAAGTATCTGGCTGCTGGCGAAAATTGCTGCCTACTTGGTTTGTATCAGCCGGCTACTCTGCTTAGCATTTCTTTACGGATGATGTTTTTTAAACAAAATATCCCTGAACTAGCCACTTTTTTTGACAACTCAGCCATCTACTTCAAAACTGAGTAATCATATTTGATATCGTAAGTTACTTCATCGACATGTTTAACAGCTGCTCCATTGACTCGTCAAATTTTTGATTACCAAAACTGTTTCCACCTGTACTCTAATTATACAGCACCTACATGTAAAGGGGCCATGGGACTGCTTGAGCAACCGTTCTCCATTTTACTGGACAACAGAGGTTGAGTCTGTGGGAGTGAATTGGGTCAAAAATACCCTAAAAGAAGGATAGTTTTGACAAAATTTCAAAAGTACATGTAACAGCTTAACATAAGGTCATGGAAAACTTTAAAGGTCATGGAAAAAGTTATTAAAAGTCATGGAATTCAAAGAACACAAAGAGTACAAACTTTTTTTGAAATTATGTTTTAACCAAAAACTGTTGCTTTAATTGTGAGCATTCACTGAGATTTTACAAGGTTTCACCTCCATCTTGGATATGGCAGAAGTTGGATGGCAGGTTATAACTGAAATAAATTTGCCAGTTGTTGGTGTCGGTGTTCGAGAAGCTTGATTTATGACACTAACTGCCATAAGTGTGTTGTGATAGGTTCCATTGAAATCTGCTGACCTCAAGAATTATGTCCCAGATAGTCATAACTTAAGTTAAAAATGGCAGGCATAGCAATAAAGTTGCCCCAACTTTTTCAAGTTTCAATCCATGTCCATCCTTGCCATTCATTGCAATAGATGATAGGAAACAGTTTCATGTAATGCTTAAATAACAAAACTAGACCATTATTTTTACCGTTTTAGCTTTTTAAGGAGATAGTAAATAACCTGACATAGCCTTCTTGATTTGTAGGAGTACAGGTGACTGACTTAGGTCCTGAAACTTGACCCCTAACCTTCTTAACACTTTCAGTCACACCCAGACAAGCACATACAAATCAAACCTGACCTAAATCCTAAAGAGCTATTCCTTTTTTATAGGTAGTAAAAGAACAAGTTTAAGGAACAACATTCATACTAACAAAATCATAATGATTAATTTAAAATTGTAGTATTATTATTGTGTGCCTTGATTTATGAGACTTTTTTAAGCCCAGGGTTTTTCAAAAATTTGTATAAATACTACAATTGTTCAAAACAATGAAACAAACTTTTGAACACCCTTTAGTTTGCTGTCGGCGCATCAAACTGACTGTTTTCATATTTTATCCAGGTCAAAAACATTCTGAATTTTATTTAACGACACGCCCTTAGGTACTCAACAAACATTAATTAATAAGGGGAGGCCCCTTACCTTACCTTACCAGTTCAACCCCTCTATAGCCCTTAAGCTTTGTATACCATTTTTGACAGAATAGGTACTCAGCCTTTCACATACCTTCCCATGACAAATAGTACCCCAGTTCTCAGTTGTCTAATTTAGAACTTTGCATCTCTTTTAACTGCTGTATGTGTACTGTCTTTCAAATATGAATAAATCACAAAACCAGAACGTATTCTCGACTTTTTCACGAATATAAAATGAATCTGTCAGCCTTTTTGGTGTTTTTACAGGCTAAAATCACAGATTTCCCTGGCTTTCATATTCTTCAGTTAGTGAAACCCCTACCTTTCATATACTTGAAACCTGAAAAAGGTACCCCTTCAGGCAAAGCCTTCTCTTAAAAGTCATTATAGGGAGTAACCCTGGGACTACATGTACATGCCTGCAAATAATTTAAATTCTCTGATGAGGTCACTGTTTTTACTGGACAAACCAGAAAAGTTGTCAGACATGCATTATATTTCACTTTATAAAATCTTTAGATTTAAAAGTATTTAATTTGTCCATGCAGTCATGATGTCTGACTGCAGGTTGAATTTCGTTGGAGATGGGCAAATTTTTAAGCGACAGTAGTCCAATGAATGATTGTTATCTTCGGCTTTGAACTATAAATAGAACTTTTGTTTATCGTATTTTACCTTTTGACAGACTCTGAGTGGATTAACGAGTGCCAGACACGTCTACGAACGATTTATACCACCAAAAACAAAGTCAACATCATTCCATGGGATGAAGACTATGCCTTTGATATTGATAAGATTTACACAGAGTTGTCTTGGCTTAAGGATCACAGGAAACCCAGTGGAGTGACGCAAACGAAACTTACAGACTACACAGAAATATTCAATAGCGGAAAGCGACTTTTAGTTTACGGCCGGCCAGGTATTGGTAAATTCTTTTTATGGCAAAATTGCATGTTTTAACAAAAGCCTTTGAAAACATCTTGTGTCTGAAGTTTGGTCCCAATATCCCATTTTAATTTGCCATCTAATCCAATTCTTACTGCCAAAAACCTACGTTCAAATCCTGCACCAATTGCAAAAACAACCATTTTCCTTAGTCCATGGATAATAGAAATTAGTCTTTCTATTATCCATGCTTATAATAGTCTAAAAATAAAACCCAGTTCTCTTTCTCGCTCGTTAGTTAGAGGCAGCGTGGCCGAGTGGTCATCGCGTCGGACTGGCAATCCGGCGGTCCCGGGTTCGAGGCCCTCTCAGGCCACTTGCTGGATTTGTTCTCGGTCGTCCCGCGTTGAAATCCGCGGCCACGCTTGCAAATAGCCAACTGGTTGCCTCCTGCCAGTTGGGGATTTTAATCCTGTTATGTTGTATTTGAATTATTTGTTTCTAAATAGTTGAGTGGAGTGCCTGTAAACTAGCTGAATAAGCTAAGTGCACTTTCCACTATAAACAAGCCTTTTTAAGCCTTTTTTAAGTTCTACCCCCTTGAGGCCCTATTCACTGATTCGTGAGTCACTGGTTTGTAATTTCGTTGATCCTCACCTGACACTGTATCTCCATTGATTCCCGGCTCAAAAGTCTTAGGGGTAATAATCTATTTTTTAATTTTTCAGTTGTCTTGGGAATATCCTGAATAAATTGTTTCTTTTGTTTGTGCTGTTATCCAGGCGTTGGAAAGACTGTTTTTACCAAGAAAGCCGCTTTTGACTGGTCCCAACAAAGATTTCAAGGAACGACTGCAGAAGCGTTTGATCTTGCCTTGCTGATAAAACTAAGCGATGTCAGTAATCTTCACGATGTTCCGTCCATTTTAAAGGCTTCTCAACCGCTCGTCAACGACAGCCAAATTTCCGTGGGTGATGTGTACGACTACGTTCTTCATCATCAAGAACGCGTCTTGCTTATCTTAGACGGCTATGATGAGTACAGCGCTGGAAAGCCATCGCCTATTGACGAAATTTGGAAGAGAAATCGACTAAGAGAATGCTGCGTTATAGTGACCTCAAGGTTAATGACAACGGACAAGCTGAGAAGTCCCAGTGATGCCCAGTTTGAGATAAAAGGGTTTGACGACAAGCGCCAGAAAGAGTTCGCTCGAAGATTTTTGGAAGATGAAGAGGATGTTCAAAAGTTTCACATCTTTTTAAGGGAACAACACCTTGAAGAGTTGGCGGAAATTCCTCTTCTTCTGCTAAATTTGTGTCTTCTCTGGATGGATAAAGAGTTACTAACAAAAAACCGAGCAGAAGTCTTCACTCAGTTCATTCAGACGTTGTTTAATCACATGCGTGGAAAACAATCCCCTGAATCGATGTTTATAAGACGCGATTACTCAAACGAACTATGCGAGTTAGGGCGCGTAGCCTTTGAAGCCCTCATGAACGATTGCATTTATTTTCCAAAAAGTGAATTAGCTGCCTACGATTTGATCGAGAGATTAAGTGAAGTCGGCCTTTTTCAAGTTTTAAACTTGGCGGGTCTAAAACCTGAAAGGGGCGTGTACTTTATTCACAAATCAGTACAAGAGTACCTCGCTGCCAAGTCCCTGAAAGAAGAACTGGTTTCTGAAGAGTTTGAAAGTACACCTTTTCTGTCAAAGTTAAACTCGGTTGAAAAGATATTGAAGATGACGGAAGTGTTAAAATTTGCCAGTGAGTTGTCAGAAGAAGCCTCGCGTAAGATCATGAGTTATCTGATGGGAATGGCGCCGCAGAACGGACTGACAGAGTATGGGTTCGACAAAGAAACACCGTCAGAGGAGGATTTGTCACAGGAGCAAAAAAATTTTCTGACGCTCTGTACACAGTTACTTTTCTACCGCCCAGCTGAGGCAAGAAGGGATCTCTTTCCTACATTTCTTTCCTCTTTAGGAGGAGTGCTTTTAATTAATCCAGACCAGCTAAATGCTATTGTAAACGAACAGTTAGTCAAAGCTAGTGAGGACCCTCGTTACGTTTTTTTCGCCAATTGCAACTATGAAGAGCAGGACTATAAAAACTTAGTAATTTTATCTGAACAATTAAACGCTGTTGTTGTTACCTGTTCAGGAGAAAAGAAAGCGTCCGAATTTTTAAGCAACTCGCCATGGCGTCGCACTGACGAATTTTTCTTAAAGAAAGAAAACATAACCCACCTTTACTTGGCTAAACTTGTAAAAGCTGAATACAGTGGCATTCCTTTTCTTGCCCGTGATATGATTAAGGCGCTAATACGCTTAGAGTCAACAAAGAAGTTGAACATAAATCCTGAAGAGTCAACTGAAGACAGCAACTGTTCTTCAAAGTATCATGCTCTGTCGAGGGTGAGGAAGATTGAAACCCTTGGAGTGGACGGTTCAGAAGTGGAACAGCTGAGTGAGTTGATGCCGTTTGTTACCGCTCCACAAACTATAGGGGTCTGGGGTGAACCCGGTGAAGTGTACGATGCAGAGGTGACAGAGTCTCTGCTGCGAAAAATTCCACTTACACGCAAACTGGAGAGACTAGCACTCGATGCTATCAACCTAACACCAGCCACTACTGCTTCGTTCATTTTCTCATTGTTTCAAGAATGTCTAAACCTGGAGTCGCTAGACATGTCCGAGAACCCATTACTGGGTGCAGGAGTCAGTAGCTTAGCTTCTTATCTCAGCTGCGCTCCTCGCCTTGGGGAACTTCTGCTGTATGATGTTAAGATGACACAACAACAAGTACACGAGTTGTCTACGGCAGTGAAGCAGAATAGCATAACTCGGCTGGAGTCTTCCTACCACGTAAGTTTGATCACAGTTTGTTTCTTATTCTTAATCTACAGTGCTTAGCGCTTACCTTCCGCCATTTTTCCTTTCTCTGTAATTTGAAACACGAGGGTGGCTTATTTGAAAACAATTCTCAAACTACGTAAGTTGAAAGTATCATTTTAAATTCATTCCTTCGTATTGATTAATATAAGCTTGTCCTTCCAGAAATGACAAACAACGATTTGCACCATTTGCCTTAAAATACATGCCCTCTCTCAATTGCATGCTTGGCGCTTATCGAGAGACATGGCTATGAAACTTTTAGTGAAAGTCAAAAACTTAATTACACTGAAGCTGTCTCTGCGTGCTTCGCGCCTTTTACTCCTATCTTGATTGATGATGGAGCCGGTACAAAGGTTTTATGTTAGGTTGTATGCAGTAAACCTGTTTTTGTTAACTTTTGAGTGCTCGTTGTTTCTACCGTCCGACGGTTTATCACTTACATGTACAAGATAAAACGTTACTTTAAGAAAGTAATAAGGCTTGACAATCTGAGAGCCAGCGAGCCATCTGAGCCACGGGAAACTGCAAATACATCAAAAAGGGTTTCTTCTTGGTTTCCCAAATGGTATGTGGGGTTTTGCTGTTGAAATACTTGCAGAATTACGCAGTCTTGGTCGACTTTCTCTGATTAGGGTTAAGAGCTCATTTTACTGACTAAGGGTAAGCGCTTATTTTACGGATTAGGGTATAAGCACTCATTGATGAGAGATGAGGGTTAAAACACTCATTAACAGCGGTTAGCTTTCAGTTATACTCTTTTTTCCGTATTACTGCTTTTTCGGCTTTTTCGTATTTTTTCCCCATAGTTCGCATTGTCTTAACTGAAAGTAGTTCAACTGCTTACTGTTACTTTGTGATTCGTAACAGGATGATGAAGGGAATCCTAAACCTGAACATCAATGGCCATCAGAGGATTATTGGAAAAAATCCTATCCGCACGTCAGTATCCCTGAATCATCAACTGAAATACAGAACAAACAGCAGCAGGTGGGTGGTCAACTTTTGTTACATAAAGGAATGTATAATTTGCTCGAGTGTTTTTTTTGTAATTTATTCTGTGAAAGGTTTGAACCCAAGATTCATTTCATTAGTAGATTGAGTATGATCGTCCGGGTGAACGTAGTCCTGAATGGGACTGTTGTTGTTGACAGTCACTGACATTTCGACAACCCATGCGGTAGTCATCTTCAGAGTCAAAGTGAGTTGTATCATATCAGTTGATGGTATTAAACTCTGGTTATTGACCTGATTGGTCAATTAAGTCGCTACGTTATTGGTCTGTCAGTTAAGCTTTGATGTTATCCTATTCAGGACTACGTTCACCCGGACGATCACACTCAACCTACCTATGTAATTTATTCTGTCGAATTTAATAGACCTTTTTACCGATTCGGCGGCCATATTGAATTTATTAGATTTAAGGAGTATTATGGGATGCCCAGGGGGTATTTGTTCAGTATTTAGCGCGCTTTCCGGGCAAAAAGAAAACTTCACGGTGTATTTCTCGGGAATAAGGCGATCATTATTACATCCAAACACGACAGGACGATCTTTTTTTCCCATTACAATCTTTTTCTTAAAGAAAAATTGTCCCGAAAAGCGCGCGTAAATACTGAGCGAGTATGTGGGATCGTGCTCATGCCCCGTAGGCCTCCCATAGATAATACTCCTAAAATCTAATAAATTCAATATGGCCGCCGTATCGGTAAAAAGGGCTATTGTAACGGATTATAGTAAGATGAACAAAAAGATTGCTACTTTTGGGGGTTTTAAAGGGGTTTTACTATCGTTTGTCATTAGGCGAATCTCGGGAGGTAAAGGGTGTGTTTCTTATAATGGTTGTTATGTTCTGGTCTGCGTTTTTGTATCTCGTGGTCGTGGTTTTCCTTGTTTCTCCTCATTTAATTGGCTCAATGACCCCTGAACAGTCTTGTTTAGAAACAATCGATTCGAATTTCTTATAATAGTCTAACAAGTGATTTCTTTGTTTATTACTCTCTTCTTAATATTTCAGTCGTCCTAAAATGTTTTTTCTAGTTGGCAGCCGAAATCATGGTCAAAACGTAACCGACGTTCGGTGGTTAGCTCGAAAGCTAAGCTCCTCTAACCACCGTACACTTCTATCCAAGCCATTAATTTTCTTTTTTTTTTCCTTCTTCTTCTCCTTTATAAGTGTATTCCTACCATACTATATATAATGTAAATATTTTATAAAGTGTGAATAATATTATAAATTGAATTGAATTGAATTGAATTGAACCTTCTTGTAAAGATCTAAAATTCTATTTCAAAGTTAATTCCTTCACGGGAACATTATAGGACTTTTTGAAATTTTGTCGGAAACGTGCCGCTATTTGATTTTGTTTGGATAAAAACCATTTTCTTTAGATTGGGAAAAATTTTTGATGTGGTTCTTTCAACGGAGGTTTGTTATGCAATTAATGTAAATGCAAATCTGCGAGCCACGCCAAAAAAAAAAACCGTAACACAGACACGCACGTCATACAGCGCAGCGTTGATTTTTTTCGCCAATGTGACTGAGGGTTACAAGTTTCATTTCCCCAGGGAGCTGATATTCTATCTTTGTAGTCTCGTTTTCTCAACTATCGCTTAATTATCTCATAAGCACATAGCCTTTTGTTCTCTTTATCCCTTGCAGATTCTGGCAGAGACTCGACCCAGTGCTCACTACTCACCCTCAACTGGTGACAATCGAAAAACCGTGGCACCAGTTCCAGTCTCTCTCTATCCTGCTGGTAAGGTTTCTATTTACATGTAATTCGAAAATTCTACAAATTCAGTGTTTGGTAAGTTTAACAATTTTTCACATCTGAACAAATAATTGCTTTGACTTGAGCCGGTATTACACTTTGTGGCAAGTTTGTCAAGATAATTCTCTTCATAATCATAATCGCGGTAAAAAAAATGGACTTATATTTACTCATTTATATATTTTTTTACTTTGATTATATTTATTCCCCAGTCTGTTTATAGACAAAAATAGGACTCCCCGCAGTATAACACTATTATTTATTGGACCAGGCATTATAACCACAAATAGAATTGAAAAGCAAGGTTATAGTTGAAACAGCGAGGAAGTCTGAAAGGAAAAGTTACTTGCAATGCTCGCAGCTTCCACCTCCTGTTCTGCAATCGTTACTTTCTTCAATGCGCATTTCCCATGTATATTTAAGTGAGCATTGTGGTTCGACTGATTGTGCAGTATTGTTTGATAAAGCAATGACATAAAAACATTAATTTAAAGTTTAAGTTAAATGATTCTTACCTTCCATACAATGTTTAAAATCTAAAAAGGTAAAATATGAAGGTATAGAGCGCTTACCATTTGTACGGAAATTTCGGTGAAAATTTTGGTGTCAAATGGTACTGGTATTTTTTCTCATTGAAAGCAGAAATGGGATTGCGTTGTACCATTTATAAAGTACTGGTTAATTTTTCACTTTCTCTCGAGTGAAAGCCTAGCACTGGTAATCCAGACAAGTAGTACAAAAGATTTCGATCGTTTCAGTAAAGTGGGAAAAAAAACCGGGGCAGGTATTACAAATGGTAAGCGCTCATAGTAACAGCTCAAATAACTTAGGAGTCAATTAACTTAGGAGGGACACTTTGAAAGAATTGAGGCTAGATTTACAGATGACTTTAGACGGGAGAGTATTTCATTCACTGACGTAACGTTTAAAAATGAAAACAACTATTGCTAGAGGTCTGCGGCCTTAGCTTAAAATCATGGTTCTTACAAGTGGACCTGTAATGTCAAAAAATTTGGGGGTGTCCACTTCAAAATACCCAAATAAAGTTCTGTGCATTTGGACCAGGCTTGGACTTTCACCTCAGTTCTAAGGAATCCCATCTTTACTCCACTAATCTTCGCTACTGGACTGGTAAAGATAAAAAATAAATGTACTTAATGACTATAAGTGACAAGCCAATCTAAAAACACCCTCGTTTCGCTGTGTCATTATGTTACTTCAGGGACCCTAACTGGCTAATTTTTTTTCCTCAACAGAAGAAGCTCCTATTCGTAAAGCGCGTCGTCTGGCATCCCTCAGTCAATACCCCCGTCTTCCTGTTTATACACCGTATTACTCCTCCCCTCATATCCATCGAGCTACGTCCACCATCGTTACACCTACACCAGGAGGGTCCTCGAGTCACAATCGTTATCTCGCCAGTTGTTCAGGCTTTTCTGCAGTTACTCAGGATGAGACCAAGGTGGAGCGTTTGTCTGTTGATGAGGTAATGAGGGCGGATTCAAAAAGCCATTATTGTTTTTAATTAGTGGTTAGAATATATCTTAACGTGGGTAGAAGTCGATGGGGAATGCAAAGGGGGAATTCAGGAGTGCGGAAAGGGCAAATAAAATGGCGCGCCGTGCTGCTCGTGTTCTCGCCCGCCTAAATTTCCCGTTTGTCTTCCCCCTCAATCGCCTGCCACGCAGGCGTCATTTATTAATTCTGCGAATGACTTAATAGATTAGTCGCCAACTCTCGACACATTTGTTGACAGAAAAGTTCGTCAACTCTCTGGTCTCTGAGACACCATTAAGCTGAGGCCGTCTTTTTGAAAAACTAATTAAAATCATCGCGCTTCCTTCAAATGCCAATCAAAGTAAAAACTATGGGAAACTAGTTAGTACCTTGTCTAGAAAACAGAGAGCTGATGCAATAAAAAAGAAATTTAACGTGAAATGATATACAAGAAAACATGCGCCTGCCGTGCATGTGCTTTACAAAACACGCTCCGTCTATTCACGAGTTCATTTTCGGCAAATAAGATACTCCGAGGTTCAGCTTCGGTAATCAGTAACTACCATAGTGTCTATCATTAATATACGATAAATTTCTTATCTATTGTATATGTATTTTTATGTGGTAATGGCAAAATGAATGAATGAATGAGTGAATGAATGAATGGAATACAATAAAATGAATAAAATGGTTGCTATGATTGGTTCAATTACGCCTGAAACAATCGTGAGTTGAATCCTTACATTAACAAGTGCTTTCTTTGGTTTTTGCTTTCTCCTAATATTTCAGTCGTAGTAAAAAAGTTTTCTTATAGTTCAGGTTGCTTTAGTTGCCGGAATCATTGTCAAAACATCAATGGCTAGAAATACCGTGACTAACTTTGAACGATCTGAAATTCTAATTAAAAGTTAATTCCTTTTCCGGAAGATTGTTAGGTTTTTTCAAATAGTGTTGGAAACGATTTGATTTTTTTCAATTTGCTGGATAGAAAACGATTTTCTTTACACTGGGAAAATATGATGACGTGGTTCTTTCTACGAGGGCTTGTTGTGCAGTTTATGTAAATGCAATGTGCGAGATACGCCAAAAAACAACAAAAACACACACACAGCGCAGCGTTGCATTTTTTCGCAAATGTGACCGATCAGAAGAGGGTACAAGTTTCACTGGTTCAGAGAGCTGATATTCTATCTTTGTAGTCTCGTTTTCTCAACTAACATAAACGTTCTTTGGCTCCATTATATCATGAGCTCATCTCCTCTTCTTCTCTTAATCCCTTGCAGATTCAGACTCGCGCCAGTACTCACTACTCGCCATCAACTGGTGACGATCGAAAAACCGTGGCACCAGTTCCAGTCCCTCTCTATCCTGCTGGTAAGGTTTCCATTTACTTGTAATTCTACAATTCTACAAATTCTGTGTTTGGTGAGTGTTAACGACAGTTTTTCATATCTGAACAAATAATTGCTTTGACTAAAGCCGGTGTTACACTTCGTGAAAAGTTTGTCAAAATCAAAATTCTCTCCATAATTATAAACACGGTAAAAAAAATTGGACTCGTATTTACTCATTTATATTTATTTTACTTGGATTTTATTTATCCTTCAGTCTGTTTATAGACCAAAGTAGGACTCCGCGCAGCATGAACACTATTACTTATTGGACCAGGCATTATAAACACACTGAATAGAATTGAGAAGCAAGGTTATAGTTGAAACATGGAGGAAGTCTGAAAGGAAAAGTTACTTGCAATGCCCGCGCCATCCACCTCCTGTTCTTTAATCTTTACTTTCTTAAATGCGCATTTCCCATGTATATTTAAGTGAGCATTGTGGCTCGACTGATTGTGCATTATCGTTTGTTAAGGCAAAGTAATATAAACATTAATTTTGAGTTTAATGATTCCGTACCATCCATACGATGGTGTAAAATCTTAAAAGGTAAAAGGTGCAGTTATAGAGCGCTTGCCATTTATACGGAAATTTCGGTGAAAAGTTTTGTGCAAATGGCACTTTTTTTTTTGCATTTAAAAAAGGAATGGGATTAAGTTGTATCATTTACAAAATACCGGTACATTTTTTGCTTTCCGCTCTCGAGTGCTAGCACTGGTAATCCAAACATATGGTACAAAAGATTTCGGTCATTCCGGTAAAGTAGGGAAAAAATACCTAGGCGGGTATTACTTTTTTTTCCGACAAAATTCCACCGGAATGAACCTTTCCATTTGAATTCTCCCCAGAATTACCAGATTTCCTTACAAATGGTAAGCGCTCATAGGAGCAACTCAAATAACTTAGGAGGCGAGGGACACTTTGAAAGAATTAAGGCTAGAATTACAGATAACATAATTTAGACCATTCACTGAGGTAACGTTTAAAAATGAAAATAATTAGTGTGAGAGGTCTGCGGCCTTAGCTTAAAATCATGGTTTCTATGAGTTTGTGGTGGACCTGTAAAGTAAAAAATTTTGGAGGCGTCCACTTCACAATACCCAAATAAAGTCCTGTGCATTTGGATCAGGCTTAGACTTTGCGCCCCAGTTCTAAGGAATCCCATTTTTATTCCACAAGTCTTCGCTACTGGTAAAGAACAAATATAGTTGTACTTAATGACTATAACTGATAAGCCGATCTGCAAACACTCTTGTTTCGCTGTGTCATCATGTTACTTGAGGTGATCCTAACTGGCTACTTTTTTTGTGCTCTACAGAAGAAGCTCCTATTCGTGAAGCGCGTCGTCTGGCATCCTTCAGTCAATACCCCCGTCTTCCTGTTTATACACAGTATTACTCCTCCCCTCATATCCATCGACCTACGTCCACCATCGTTACACCTGGAGGGCCATTGAGTAGCAATCGTTATCTCGCCAGTTGTTCAGGCTTTTCTGCAGTTACACAGAATGACCCCAAGTTGGAGCGTTCATCTGTTGATGAGGTAATAAGGGCGGATTAACAAAGCCATTATTGTTATTAACTAGTGGTTAGAATGCATCCTAACGTCCGTAGAAGTCGTTTAAAGGGGAATGGAAAGGAGGAATTCGGGTGCGCAAGAAGCGCAAGTGACGCGCACTACCCTTCGTGTTCTCGTCCGCCAACCTAAATCTCCCTTTTCCCTTCTCCTTCGATCGCCTGTCATGTGGGAGTAATTATTTACTACTGAGAAGGCCTTTATGGAGTCGCTGACTCGCTAACAAAGTTGTTGATAGAAGAGCTCGTTTGCCCGTTGGTTTCTGGGACATGATTATTTCATTAAGCTTAGACCCTCTTCTTAAACAACAACTTTCGCGCCTCTTTCAAATGCCAATCAAATAAAAAACTGCGAGAAACTCGTTAATACCTTGTTGAGAAAATAGAGAAGTGATGCGATAAAATAGATATTTACTTTACGTTGAAATGAGATACCGAAGAAAATTCCGGCACCCGTGCATGTACTTGTCAAAACACTCTTCGCGTGTTCACGAGTTTATTTTCTCCAAATAAGCCACTCCGAGATTCAGCTTCTGTAATTAGCTTTTACCATATTTTTGTTCCTCCTTTTAATTGTTGTACTAAAATTTGGAAGCTGTTTTATAGTTGTAGTTCGTAAATTAATCCATACGGTCGCGCGGAAGCTGAATCGAGGTTTCCTCCTTGGTACTCCGCTCCCCTATCTTTGACCTCAGTTCAGCTTTCGCGCGGCGCGGTTGTAAGTATCTACTTAATAAACCACAAACGCTTAAAAAACACACAAACAAGAAGAGAAGTATCGCCGACTTTTGCGCTACATGTTTTATATAGAAAACAATTGATGAAAGTTACTACAGTAACGCAGGTTGTATATTTCAACGCCTTGATAAATTTCCAAGCTTATAACAACGAGTGCGATTCGTTATAAGCGGGATTACCGAGAACTGTTAGAGATACACGCTAAACAAGTTTTAGAAGGCGCGGATCTGCGTATTCAAGATTAAAGGTTATCGAATATGATATCCATCCCTTGCCAAAATTAGCTGGATTTTCGAAAAATGCCTTTGAAGACGACTTTAGACTGTAGTCTATTACTCGGCAGAGTCTGCTAGAGCCACTGCGAACGTTGGGGTACTCAAAATAAACAAAAACACGTTAATAGCGCGATTTATCGGCAACGTTCCTCCTGTGTCATTTTACTGGAAATTTAAATCGTCACAGCAGTGCTTATGATCGTGATACTTGTAGCGTACAATGTAAATACACTACCTACAGAACTGATAAGATCAGAAGCTGTTGTTAATGTTTCCGCAGGAAACGTGAGCGTGAAAATCTCTTCCCGGAGTTCCCTTACTAGGTGGCGCGAGTAAATGCACGCCCGAAGTTGCCCAAAGTACACTTCGACAACAACGACTATATGCCGTTTTCATATCGGGTAACTTCGGACCGATCCGAAGATCGTCTACAACGACTGAGTTACTCTTTTGCATATCTTAACCGCCTGCCCAGCAATAACTTCGTGGAATACACTTCGGGTATTCACGAGTTTAGAGGGATCATTTATGAAAATATTATTTTTATTTCACTTTAGATATACTATTATGCGCGACCATTTTAAATTGCCTAATAAGCCATTTCCGAGTCTCAAAAGCTCTCACTTCCAAAACGAGGCTAAGTGCAAACACTATTTTTGTGCAAATGCGATTTTTTTTGCATGAGAATAAAATGGCTTTCATATCAATGGCTTTGTACTTAGCCTCGCTTTGAAACAGAGACTTGGGAAATTTCGGAAATTGCTCATCACAAATTCCAACACAGTAGACAAAATCAGTAAGTGTACGCTTACTCTGTCCTCAGAAGCTTACATACGAACACTCATACTACATCGTACAATTTTATCCTTTGCAGAGGTTCAACCTTCCCAGCACATCTTTTAAAGCACATGATGAACCAGGTCCTTTACAAGGTCGGTTGTAAATAATAATTTTAAATTACCTAAATACGATCTCATATCATACCTGCCTTGCGCAGAACATAATCAGGACAGAAGGGCACGAGTCCAAACGGTGCTGTAACGTCTTAGCGTCAAGGTCAGATAATATAAAGGATAGCCTAATCACCCACGACTGCAAAGTGTGAACGAGCTTTTTTGGCGATGACTCACTCAGACCACCTTTTCTGAGAACGCGATCGTTTAAGTGTTCTTTGAAGGAATACAACCCAAACTCTGCCACCAGAATGTGGTTATCTGCCGAAGCATATTCGAGTACTTACCTTATTTGCAAGAACTTTGCTTGCAAAGTGATGTTCACTGTGTCACCATATTATTTTTGGAATCTTAATTTGTACCTTTTTTCTGTACAGTCCGTTTTGCAACTCCTACTCATAGAGCGCATGGATTTAGCCACGGCCTGTCACCCTTCAGTCAATACCCCCATCGTCCTGTTTATCCGCAGTATTACTCCTCCCCTCATATCCACCGAGCCACGTCGACCATCTTTACACCTGGAGGCTCCTTGGGTAGCAATGTCGCGAGTTGTTCGGGCCTTTCTGCAGTGACACAGGATGAGACCAAGTTGGAACGTTTGTCTGTCGATGAGGTAATGAGGGCGGATTCACAAAGCCGTTAATGTTTTAGTCAGTGTTTATAATTCAGTTTAGCCTACGTGGAAGTCGTTCAAAGCGGAAGAAAAGGTTAGGGTTAATGTTACCACAAGTCACACGTGTTAGTGGATATATATGTTATGATGAAGACAACGTCAACTTGTTGGTCACTGGGACATTCTACAGCGTAGGTCCGCTTTTGGTAAGGCCTTAAAATGTTATTCGATTACTATTTATACTGAAAATAATTTATTTTGTTTCAACTCTTGGAGTACTGTTAGCGACTACTTTAAATCGTATAGTTCAGAGTTTCCATACAGCATTGATTGAGTTTACGGTTAGTCTGTGCCGAAAGCCTATAGAGCGTTTTCACTCACGTGATGAGTAGCTATACAAATTTACTGGAAAAAAGAAATTTTTTACAGAAGAAAAAGGTTCAATTCCCACAGGACTGATTTGAAACTCCAACATGGCCGCCGTTTCATTGGTTTAGTACACCAATATGGCGGACGTGACGTCATGTGGCAAAGTTCTATACGACGATCACTCAAACCACTTCGCACTTGTTGATCCTTTGCAGAGTTTGAATCTTCCCAGCACATCTTCCAAAGTACAAGATGAACCAGGGTCTTTACAATTACAAGGTTGGTTGTAAGCAGTTATTTAAAAAATATCAAAATACCACCTTACAGTATACTTCTTTGCTCCGGTCGGTTTGTTCAAAAACCTGTGAGAGTCGTCAGCAGTAGAGATTGCAGCAAAGATGTACCAACTTCGGATTAAGTGGAAGCCTGTGCCTTTACCATAAAAAGCGATAAACGTGCCTGCCTTTTGTTTCATATCCAGGTGATGCAGACCCTCCGCGAAAAGGAAAGAAAAGAAAAAAACACAAAACATATCGGATGACTGAAGGTGCGCTAAAAGTCATTACGATTAGTTTAATCCATACATCTATGGCAAACGTCGCCTCAAGGATGTTTTTTGTTCCGTGTGACTCGATTAAATCGAGAAAATATTAATATTTTTTCCCAAAGATTTATGGACAGTGGAGATTTATGATAAACGCAATGAATCATTCCTTATATCCGTTGCTTTTTCATCAGGTGTTGAGGAAGCTTCGCCAAAGAAACATAAACGAAAAAAGCACAAAACACATCGAAGAGATGAAGGTACGCTGAAAGTCTTGACATAAATTGAAATCAATAGTTTGTAACAGAACCTTTCTTTTGAGACCTTTACAGTCAAGGACGGGGACGCCTACAAGGACGAAATTTGATTCAAAGTTTTAGCGCGTATTGTCAAAAAATAGCTACCCCGGAAAGCTTCATTTTTCTTTTTTCCGCCGGAAAAGTTGGCACTATTACTTTTAGTGAGCGAGGTTAAGCCCTCTTCCGATCCTAAAATAATAGAACTTCTAACACTTGATGTCTTGTTCCCGCCACTATACCATTCTCGCTAAAACCCGTAGTAGAATTTCGATGGCTACCACGTTTTCCCGCCAAAATGACGCCGGTTCACGTGCGTTCACCACTTAGTATTGAGAAAATCTCGTCTAGTTGTCGGTATCGTCTGAGAACCTAAAGGTCCCTTTATTTTCGTTCATGAAACCTGGTATCAATCATTTCAAAAAGATTTGTCAAAAGATCACCAATGCATCGAAGGCTAACCCCTGATTTAGTGGAACTTTATTTTAGTAAAGTCTTAAGGAACCATAAACAGAAACATAATTGCTAGCAATTTATGAACAACCAGTTAATTTTTTACGGTTGTCCTTTTGTACATGAAGGCGACAAAGAACCTAAGTGGAAGAGACAATCAAGAGAAACGCAAGTGCTGAGGGCCGTTAGGTTCATGGATAAACCAAAAGTTTATACCATTGATTGGGCCATTTCTTAGTTCCAACAACACAGGGTTTCGTATTTTCGTGGTTTTTTAGCCGGCAAAAATGAAAACTTTCCCAAAGTGTGCCTTATGTCTCAATGCCAAACCTTTCTTTCATATAAAAATGAGTTTTATTTGTCTGGAAGTGAAAATCGATTTTTATATGAAAGACGTCACACTAACCCTCTTCCTGAGAAAAAGGCAAAAGGTTAACGCGGAAATGCCCTATTTAGAATCAAACACACGAAAATAATTTTTATTTATTGTCTTTCTACTGAAATCCCAACAGTAACGGTCCCTACGTATATACCAGAGTAGCGTTTCCCTCGGTTACCGTGCTAAAAGTTTCTTTCCGGCGTAGTTTAAGTATGTACAAAGTCGTTCGCACCGCTGACATTCGCGGTTATTGGCTCGTTTACGTCCCGAAAAATATTTCTTTCGGGGACTTCAACAAGTTACTGCGTCGCAAACGACTTCTTACATGCTAAAAAAACGACGCCATTGGACTGCTACCTCTACTGCCGTTACTTTCGAGGTTCTACGGTGAGGACTTATTTCACTCCGTGTAATCCGCTACCAACATGGTCAAGCAGTAAATAAACAGATCTGTTGTAAGACCTGACAGCTGGCCAGTATGGGTGGCTGCAGAACAGGCTTACCAACCTCTGTTTAGGTTTATAACCAAGTGTTATATAAATTAAATTAAAGACTTTCATTTGTCTTTTTGGGCAATGTAGGCGGCGAGAAATCACCCCGGAATAGAGAGAAAAGACAGCAGCATAAAGCGCATCAGGTGACTCACGGTAAGTTGAGTCAATAGGTTTCTTTAAATTAATCGTTTAAAACAAAACTTTTCTTTATTTTTTCTATCAAACTCTCTGTCAGTTAATAAAAGAGTGGAAGCACAGTCTTACCAACCTGTGATTGAGTGGAAGCCTCAACACTATTAAGTCGAGTACAAACAATTAAATCCTTCCAATCGTTTTTTTTTTCCTCAATCTAGGCAACAAAGAATCTCCACAGAGAGAAATGAAAGCAAAAAAGTGTGAAGCGCATCAGGTGACTGAAGGTATGCTAATGATTAAATTTCTATAAACCAAAGTTTATAAAAGTACATGGCTTTTCTTTGTTTCTTGATACTTGATATCAAAGAAAAAGGATTTGTTCAGTTTGCTCGGTTACGTTGACTGGACGCGTGTGATTTTACTTGACCCGTGAAATAGGAAGTAGAATAGTATGCGCTATTATGCACTAACTCTATTGCGTTCTTTTGCTTGCCAGTAGCTGTATTGCACTAGTTGCTATTCTCTGTTTCACGGATCAAGTAAAATCACTCTAATGACATCTGTTTGTTGAACTGAATCCTTATGTTCTTCGTCTCATTGCTTTCTGTAGGTGACGAAGAACCTCTACAAAAGAAAATCAAAACAGAATAGTATTAATCAGAGCGAATGACTAAAGGTACACTGAATGTTGTAAGGTTGATTAAAATGGTTGCGCATTAACAGCAAGAACAAACCAGGTGAAAACGTTGGGACACTTAGGTGCTTTCCAAAAGTCAAAATTGGCCGGCCAGACCCGTCACTTTGACAATAAAAATAATATTTAGATTTAGCCAGGGATAGAAGCGAAGTCCCGTTCATAAACTTATAATAAGCATAATTATTCATTCCAAATATTTCCCCGATTCTGATTGGCTAAAAGCACACGCTTAATCCACCATAACCAGTTACTGATGACCAAATTTGGAAGAATTTTGTGTTTAACGAGGAAATGACGTCAAAAATGCAGCGTTCTCGCAGGTTAAGGCACCGTTAACCGAGAAGACCTGGGTACGAGCTTGTGTTATTTTTGGCAGACAAACATCAAAAATGGCTGCGAGTAGGTTTACAAGTTTGAGCGAAGAAAATATTACCCAGTTACATAATGATAAAGACAGTGAGAATACCAAAAAGTTTACGAAACACTATCGCTTAGCGGCAATTTTACGAAAGTTTTATGCCGAGGCGAGAAAGAAAGATGGACAGATGTAATCAAAGAACTTCCTTTGCTCCATCAGATTTGCTTTGTGTAGACACTTCAAACAAGAACTAAATATAGACATTATAAAGGATACAGAATTTAACGAAGCCAACCGAATTTATGAAGCACAGTGCGTACAGCTGAAGATGCAGGGACTAGCGAAAACTGAACACAAACCTCCAATTGCTGACGAAGACATAAATAAATTGTATCGATGAGGTGTCTTCAATACTGAAAACCCTACCACTCTACAAAACAAGGTTTTCTTTGAAATAATGTTATTTTTCTGTCGGCGTGGTCGGCAAAATTTTCGGCAGCTTAAAAATACTTACTTCGAAATAAATGTCAACTCGCAAGGAAGAAAACGCTGTGTTTTGAAAACAACCGATCAACTAACAAAAAATCACAGAGCACACGACGTTCAAGCTGAAGAAGGAGGAATGATGATAGCAAACGATGGTCCTTTTTGCCCGGTCTCATCCTTTGAAAAATGTGTGAGTGTCTTGAATCCTATGAATGAATACCTTTTTAGCGACCAAAGTCATCTGGTGAAGGAGAAATTTGGCATGACAACATGGTTTTCGGCGACAACACTCTCGGTCATCTTACACCTAGCGGAGTTGTCAACAATATACACAAATCATTCAATCAGAGCGTCGACCATAACTATACTCGACAGAAGTGGATTTGAAGCGCGACACATCATGTCGGTGAGCGGACACAGAAACGAAATTAGCGTAAAAACCTACAGCAAAATCGATGCAAACACAAAAACAAACGTCGCGGGCAGCCTTATGGCTGTAATTGACAACAGCAAAAACCATGTCGTGGCTTCTGAAGCAGGCGAAAATGATCGACATGAGGAACTTGGACTGCTAACAAATTCCCAAGAAAAATTCATTTTAAGAGACCTGAACGTTCAAACTCACAACCACTTCAACCAAACCACAAAGCAGTTTATTTATTTAGAACTGCACAGTAACATTTCTGTAAACACTGCATTAAATTATCGTAAACAGGTTTGATTTTTTTTTTACCTTGTTGTCTGTTAAATTTCTGACGGAGAGATTTTATTTATACATTTCACCAAAATTTACGGAGTGAAAATAACTTTAGCTCTCAGTATATTGCTGGAAGGTGTGAAATTTGTGAAAATAAAGCTCATTTTCCCCTTCAAGTGTTTGAAAATATTTTGATAAATAATAAAGCAATTAATGAATTCGGCTTTCGTAGGATATGAAGAATTAAGCGGATCTCGGAAGGGTGTTATCCACCGAGGCCTACGGCCTACGGCCTCGGTGGATAACACCCTTCCGAGATCCGCTTAATTCTTCATATCCTACGAAAGCCGAATTCATTAATTGCTAATTTACAGGCTACGATTTTTCGGCAATATTTCTGTCTCAAGGTAAGACCTAACAGAAAAATAAGGCTGAGTTTTGTGTTTTCTTATGTAAGCTAGCCTTTATATTTTCATCTCACATCAAAAAAATCCAACTACTGGTCTATTATCAATGCTGCGTTCTGATTGGATGAGCTACTACTAGGCTACATGTTATAGCCCACATAGCCCACTAGTAGCGAAACGCGCTGGCTTTTTTAGCGTTTCAAAAAACCATATTTTAGTGTCTCTCTGTAAAACCTAGGCCCCGTTCTCACGTATCCGGAAGTTTTGAAAACGGAGATTTTTTTCCACGTAGCGTATTCAAATCACTTTCGCCCTTCCACACAAAAACGCAAAAACGATTAGCATCCCTTACGGAGCTTGCTAGAAGTATATGTACGTTATCATTGTATATTCGTCTGTCCACACGTAAATAAGAAGTCCGCGTTTTCAAAAATTTCCATCCTGAAGAGCGTTTTGAAAAGATGCGTTTTCGGTGACCGTTTTCACCGAATACGTGTGGAGGTCACGCTAAACCGGGGAAATTATTCGTTTTCAAACAAAACAGATACGTGTGGAGGGGGCCTTAGAGTTCAAATAGGCGTCACAAATTATCTTGAAGTCTGACGATCGTGTTTTTCCGCGGATTTTATGAATGAACAAACTAAACAATAGACAAAGAAATTATTTTCGCGAAAAGTTTTATTCGAAAACTCGTAATTTAATCCTTAAAAGCTATTCGCGTGACATTAACTGGATCGTGATTCCGTTCATGCAAGTAAAATGGGCTTAGCATATGGCAAAGTTCAACACAAAATCCATCTCAAATCGGGGCGTATTTTTGTCGCGAGATGTCAAAATGTACGAAACGTCTATGAAACCTTTATAAATACAAACATTTTCTTTTAAAAGCGTACTTTTCTTGACCATATTGTATAAAATGTACCTGAAAATTATTCAAAAACTTCGCTGCCTCGGTTGCGTTTTATCAAAACAGGCCAATCGCTCCGCCGTGACTGAAGAAAACAGGGTCGAATTCCTCGGACATTTTCATAACGAAAAGCTTTCGTTTGTTCACAAAAAGGAAACTGAGCATTCTTTGAAATTTCCCTTTCCGTTTGTCTTTCAACTGTGTATTTTCAACCGTGAAATGCAAACTTTGGTCTTGAAAACCACCACATGGTCAATGCGCGGCAGCCATTTTGTTGAAAATAGAAGTCCTGTCACTTAGGTGTCAAATCCTTTTCTTCTACTACCATCTAAACTCAGTCGACAGATTGTGACTGGTCGATCATTTCTAAAGCCTGTTGAAACAATGGTGGACAAAAAAAACTTTTTAGGGGGAGGAGTGGAGGAATTCGTGTCTACCTAGGGCCTGCTTGCGTGGCGGTGGGGAACTCCAGGTAAGTGAGGTAACCCGCTTAGATGGGGTAACTAACTTGTCCATATAATCTTTGATAGGTGGGGTGACCATATGAGAGATTGCATGGACAGGTGGGATACCCCACCTAAACAGACTATCTCACCTACCTGGGGTCCCCCACCTCCATGTAAACAGTTCCTTATTCCCCCCCTCCCCCCTGCCAGTCTTTACGGCCGTACGTACCCTGACGTCATAACCAAATTTTCTCTCATCGGTAGGTTTCCAATTTCTATAGCAGTAGAGGCTTCCCTATTAGTCTTTTCGTCATTTTTTTTTAACCCATCACTTCCGTGCATACCATCTACAAATAAACTGATCTGACTGGAGTGTCCTTGTCAATAGTCTAATAGCGAAGCTCCGGCGCGCGAAGCGCGCCAGCGGAGCACCATGGGTAAGAAAATTTGGTAAACCATCCATCCGAGAAAATTTGGTTATGACGTAGCGTACGCCCGTACACTCTTTGAGGGGGAGGGAAGGGAATCAGGTGTCAGCCCGTCCGGGGGAGGAGTATTTTATAAATCGCGCGATGCATTTGTGCAACCAGCCTTTTTCTTGGCGGGAAATCGCGCAAGAAATGGCGTGGCTGTCGTCGCGTTCAAAAACATGTTTATTTCAACTACTTCATTGCATAAGGATTTTGTGACCGTAGAGCTCAGTTTCTAGGAAACTGTTTCGAAAAAAATTGTTGTGGCAACAAACAATAGCGGATTGAATTCAAACTATTTGCTTGTAAGTGAAGAGCGACGGGAAAGAGAAGAAGAGAAAGGCATAGAGTAAGAATTAACAGGCGCGCTAGCGAAGAGGATTCAAGTGGAAAATTTATGTAGCATCTGCGACTTGTTCACTGATAGCTGAAGCTGGCAGAGTTTTGAGTCATCTTGTGATGTTTTTACCTGTCTTTTTGCACTAGATCTACAAACTGAAATGCAGCGGCTATCAACATTCTTTTGTTACTCTTGGCTAGCTTGTTTACTGAGTTGTGGTTGAGAAATGCGCTGCACGACAAAAAGAAATCGGGAATTATCGTTTTCACAAATAAGCGATAAGCTACTCTTAGTAAGCTTACTTCGCCTTGCTGGACTATGCGAAAAGTCTTAAGCAATTCTGGCCTTACTTCATGGGTTTCAGCGCTGCATCTCGACCGGTAAGCTTGAGTAATTTTATCGCATTTTATGTGTTTTCTTTTTCCATGTTTATACCTTCATTTTACGCACATTTGAAAGATTTGCGACAATCCATCCGACCTAGAACTTAAAAAGTCTTTAGACATTTTCTGACCGCGAATAGAAGAAAAACTTCTGAAAAATAATTTGCTTATCCTATTGTTTGTAAAAAGAAAACTTTGAGCGATATTCTTGCCTGGAGTTCATCTTGCAAAGTAGCAAACACGGCGAAGGCAGCTTAAAACTTTTAAAAGGCTTAAATCTGCAAGGTTTTATTCGTGACTCAGGATTTTCAGAGACACTTTACTCTCAAAACACTTCTTCGGGAATAAAAATTGTTGACCTTTAAATGTTTCTTTGTATTATATTTCTTGTCTTGATTGTTTGTCAAGATCTCGTTCTTACATGATCGCTTTGCCAGTTTTTGTTTTCAGTCGTCCGTGAACGCGTTGGTCACGCTGTACGTCCAATTTTTATGCTCTGATTGGTCAAAATTTGACAGGTGAGTTTATGCGGAAAATTTATGCAGCATCTTGAAACTTGTTTACTTTGACAGCTGAAGCTGACAGAGTTTTGTGTCAACTTGTGATGTTTTTAACTGTCTTTTTCTACTGGATGTACGAAATGAAATTCAGCTGCTATCAAGAGTCTTCTGTTATTCATGGCTAGTATTTTTATTGGGTTTTTGGTTGAGAAATACGTAGCTTGTTAAAGTCGGAAATCCGATTTCGCACGGCATCGATTCGTTTTCGTTTTTCACCTTGCTTGATTGAAAAGTTTGAAGCGATTCTGGCCATACTTGATAGCTTCCAGGAGCTGCATCTCGAATGGTAAGCCTGAGTAATTACATGAAGCCGAGCGCAGTTTATGAGGCTAGTTTATCATGTTTATGCATGTTTGAATTAAAATTTGACATAATATGATCTGACCTATAGTATGAGGTTCGATTTAAGCTTGCAGAGCTTTGAAAAGTCTTTAGTCGATATTTTCTCACCGCAAATAGAAAGAAAAAAACGTTGCGTTTTTATTTTGGCTGTAGAAAGAAAGCTTTGAGCAATTTTCTCGCCTCGAATTCATCTTTAAAAACAGCAAACACCGGGAGGCCGGCTTAAAACATAAACTTAAGTCGTAAGCATAAAGATTCAGGATTCTTAGAGACACTTTAATACTTATTTTGTCTCTAAATTCTCTCGTGAATGAAAATTGTTGTCTCCGTAAATGTTTCACCGAATTATATTTCTTTTATTGATCATTAGTAGTCTCTCTTGCAATTTGCCGTTAATGTTTTCAGTTGTTCATAAACATCGCTTGCAGGAGTACTCAAAACGTCGCGCGCATCAAACGCTTTTTTAGTTTACACATCGTTATAAACCATTAAATAAAAAAAATAAACACAATAAATGATTTATTATGTTAATGTGTAACTCTATTAATGTTCATTCAAACACTCCACAGCTTGCAACTGGCTGGCCATTATATAGGTGATTTTGGAAATTTTTTTAGCGGTTTCGCACTCGTGCTTCAATCGTCCTGAATATATTGAAAGAGTGCAATTTATATTTGAAAATTGTGAAATACTGCATGCATTCTGTTTGAGGTCTGTAAGATAAAAACAGCGCCTCATAGTACTGTTTCACCTCAGACTGTCAGATGTGATGTATAAAAAGTATAAAAGGTTGGTTTACACGCCCCCAGATTTGTTAGCAAGATTTTGTAAAGCAAACTTGTCAAACGGAAAAACTTCTGCCAGATTTGCTTTCCAAGTATTTGTTTTCCCGGCCTAATCTACTGTGATCAAGAGCCATTATGGCCGTTAAATGTGATCGAAGATGATTGCTATTTTTTGGGTGTACATATAAAGGCCATCAACTCGATGTAAGATTTGGTGCACTCTTGGACTGTTAGCAAATTATTTTTCTCTCAAATCATTTAGCCTTAATCCCTCATAACAAAAGTCACATGAATGTGCTCTAAAGTGAACTGATTTGTGAAAACAAGTTTATTGTTTGATTTAAATTACAAATTTATTAATGGAGATTCGTTTTTAGCCCTGGCTAAATCTATATATTACTCTTGACTACTGGACTAGTCTAGCCAGCTAGTTCGCAAAAATGGTAAGCGCGCCCTTGTTTTTTTCTACATAATCAATGCATTTTCAAATAACCCCCCTCCCCCTAGACAGCCTTCGGTGATAGAGGTCAAACACTTCCAAAAACATCTTGCAAAGTGTATAGCTTTCAACTTTGATTTCTTCGGGAAAGGGCAGTAAACCCAGGCAAAGCCATGTTTTTAACTATGAATTTTCCCTAACTCGCAAATTCCCTACCAAAAACAGGAAAGAAAAAGCAAGAGTCCCAAAACCTTTTGGCCAGGATCGTAACTTTATATACCCTATGCGACCCGGTGGATTATAGAAAGTTTGTTCAAGAGCCATGAGACTAATGCGAGTGGAGAAAAGGCTAACAATCCTTTGTTTGAATGAAATTTTTTGCTTTAATGGTAACTATTTATCAAAATGATAAACATGTTTCAATATCATTGGCAATGATTGGATTCGGCTTTCGTATAATTATGGAGATCAAATAGAACGCGATAACAACCTCCGAGATCATCATAATTAACGAAAGCTGAATTCAAAAACTGTTTTATTATTCTATTCAAAATATTTCTAAGTTCTTAAAAAGCGTGAAGGAGGTCTACGAGGGTAAACCTTCTTCAAACCTTGGCAATTTTCACGGCACGATTTCAGGGTATCAACAGAAGTGTTTTTCTTTCAGCTCCTCAAAAGTCGAGTAGTACATTTGCGAATTCTTGCATTTCTTTCGTTCAGTTTCAGTGAGAAATGAGCTATTTCTTCTTTGGATAGCCGCGCACGCCATTTTTTTTTGGCAATAGTCAATAGACAATAAATGACTTAAAATTACAATAAATGGCAGCTATTTATTACACTACTACATAACAAATTATTACAAATAGAGGTACACACAAACACATATTTTGATCTACATTTTGTTTTCCTTCCCTTTTCTTAATTTGAAGCATTCCAATACATACATGCCTTGCCATTAATTTTGGGTTTAAGGCTTCTCGCTGGTTGATTATTTAAAAACATGAATATTTCATTTGGTGACATTTTGTTCACTCTTATCAGATGCTAATAAGTTATCTAATAGAACGTTTCTTTTTTTCTGATAAGCGGGACATACAGTTTAAAAATTTACATCACTCGTGAATAAACAGCAAGGCGGCGGCGCCAGGAAACGAGGTCGATCGATAATCTATTGTCTTAGCAGCCTCGTTTCCAGGCAAGTAAGCAATCGATCAACATCGTTTTCAAGCAATTAAACCACCGAATCGATGGTATATTGCTCGCATCTCCCACATTTGGTCAACAACGGTAGGTTATGAAAAATTTGCCGAAAATTAGCGAAATATTTTAAAGGAATAATAGTCACCCTTACATAAGTTTTAAATCATTTCATAAGCCATACTTTACTATTATCGGCAGCAACAATTGTCAAACAAAATTGAGTCCAACAAAATTTACTCACGGGTAATCGGCTATTACCAAATGCACCCACCCAAGTCCCATTGTTGTTTTTTATATTCCAGTCTCTACTATAACACATTTATGAAGTTTTGTTGGTAAATCGAAACGTAATAAACAAAACGTATGTTACTAAAAATAAATCCAGCAATGCACCATTCTCTTGGTATTCAGTGGAATATTGCATGAGAACCACAAATATCTACACAACAAAGGGATATAAACCTCTTTAGCTTGTATGTTCTGTCTTCCCAAAAGAGGTCCCTAGAGAACTTGGCCCGTTGTCTTTTCATAAATTATGCGTAGATATGCACGAAATTTGAAAAAAACGGTTCCCCAGAGTATTATCACATGACCTGTATTGGGAAAACAAAACATACAAGCTAAGGAGGTCTATTGCACTGAGAGACGAGAAACATACTTAAGTTAGTTGCTCCCGAGTAGCTCGTGAAACAAGTCGTGATTTTAGACTAGATCATCTCGCCGGTCCGCCACTCGCTCCCTTAAGTTCCGTTCTCGCCCCAAGAACACAGCCTGTACGCAGGCTACTATGTCACTTGGGGTGACCCTAATTCGTCCCTTCATTTCTCTGCAGCTGGTCCAGTTAAGCGGGAACTCCTATTTCTACAGCGCATAGATTCAGCCATGACCTGGCACCCTTTGACGAATACACCCTAGTAACTCATGAACTGCTGCTGAGATCGCCACAACATGGACTGGAACCGCACAGAACAATTCCAGTGAAACCTTGTCTTAGTGGTTCTGTACATCCTCGGTAACACACCAGCTGGGTTCCTAGTGGTGTTTCCCTTTGTATGAAGTGCTGAGACGTCTGCTATATGGATTGCAATTCCAGGCGAGCGCATCTCTGTCTGGGATCATCACCGCCTAGCCTGCAGCATAAAGGTCCAGTGGTCAATGAAAGTGTGCGAAATATAGACAATCCTTCGGATGAAGCTGATGCAAAAACATCAGAAACAATACCACAGTGTAGTGACATATTTGTGTTAAGAAAAAATGTGAATCTAGTACGACAGCAGAAGTCATTACTGGAAATAACGTCCGTAAGAAACTTTTTGACACCAAAGGAATTTGTAGTTACAGTGCGGTTTGGCAGCGAACACGTACGAAATTTGTCTAGTCCTTCGATTGAATGTTACGCAGGTCCATGGGCGACACTCGATAATACAGTGTGCCGTGCAGTATACATTTTTACTGCATTCGGTTGTGGCTGTTTGTATTACTATAACGAACATTATTTTTCTTTTTGACAACAGACAAATCGCAAACCTGCGACGGGCCATTTTCGAGCTACCCAAGCCTCTGTTTCAAAGCGAGGCCAAGTAAAAAGCCATTAAATGAAATGATTGATCAATAAAGCTCATTTGTAGCTCATGGAAGACGTTGATGAGCTTTTGGAGGCACTCGAATCACTCGACTCATGAATTTATTCATTGAACTTAGTTGGACTGAACATTTTACTCTTACATCCCCTACTAAGTACTGCTTTGTTGCAAGTGCTTTATGCCCACAGTTTTGGCAGATTCTAGCGAGTACTAGAAGGGCTTACATTTTCGCCCAATAGCATGAAGTAGATGATTTTTTTGTGGCCAGCGGAAGGTCAGTTTTCGTACAATAAAAGTTCAACAGGCAAAGAACACTGACAACACCAATTGTGATTTATAGCTGGTTCAATAAAGGTTGCTTTGGGCATTGTGAATTCGGAAATAGGACACTATGGTGGTCACTCAGGCAAATCATTGCGAGGTTTGGCAGGCCCAGTACCCAATTCCCAATTCCCAATGCCCAAAGCAACCTTTATTGAATCAGCTATATGTGGAAAACGGACGGCGAATTGTTACATTGTGACGCGCCTTACCGTTATCCCCAGCAAACGTTTTTATATGTTAGCCAATGAGCGAGCGCGGATTACCGGTTGACAGTCACGCCTCCTTTTATACAAAGGTCGCGATTGTTGTATTTTCTTAACTACAGTTGTGGCTCTAACGAGAAAATGAGTGAATGCAGCGAAATCTGTCTCGAAAGCCTCCTAGTTGGTTTATATCTTGAAAGATGCACCAGTAGAGTTTGAAATGCTCGACGGCCAGGACGCCTACTTTCCATCTCCGGAGAAACTGCTTTTAGTGGAAAAACGAATTTTGGAAAGCGAATTCAACGCTTTCGTCGACTCTGAAAAGACGGGAAAAGGGAAAATACCACTGAAACCCATGGAACTTTCCCAAAGGCTCCACAGTTGTGATGCTTCTGGGCAATTTGGAACGTCGCCGAATCAGGTCCCGCCGATGAATGTTTTGCCTACAACAGCAATTACCACCATAATTAGGACTATACAGGCCTCAAACTCTTAAATACTTAAGTTGGTTTTATGCAACCAGTAGGAAGCACAAAGTTAAGCCCTTTAGGTTAACTGTGGTCACATTCAAAATTATTTGCTGGTAATGCATTGACCAATTCTCAAACTTTAAAAGTGAAAGTAGCTTTTGCACCTCATCGGAATGTTTGTTTCAAAATTTCTGGGTAATGTTCAGGGTTGTAAATTCTCATCCTTGTGAAAACATGGGTCAATGTGTGTTTCTCTGAATGAGAAATCTCTATTAACAGTAACTAGTTACCTGTTTTTACATTTGAGACCTTTCTCCTTTAAAAAAAGTTGTATGCATTACAGTGATATTCCCACTAAAACCAGAGGAAATTGACACACTTCGTTGATTGAGGACTCCTCTGATGAGCTTTTGTCATGACCACGACCAATTTTTGTCAAAGTCACAGATGCCAGTTGCGGCGAAGTTTGAAGGCAAAATATTGGACTAAAATTGAAGAAACTGATCGAGAAAACGTAGGCGTAAGGTGCCGCAGCGTGAAAAACATGTCGTCCACACGGACGACGTAATGGAAATATGACCTGGGAAGATTTTGATCAGTTATCATCAGTTTATAAGTTTTTCGGCCCTTTTTGTTCCTTTCCAAGACAAAAATGGTCAGCACTCGTTAACATCCGTCGAAAGGCCCTCTTATCTTCGGCCGGATTTCGTAAACGTATGACGTCACTCATGTATGCTTTTGCTTCGATCGTCCACTCTGATTCGTCTGATGATCTGACGGTTTGTTTCGAGGTCTTGTCTTGCTTTTTCGATCATCCCTCGATTGATTCAACCCAGAAGATGCTACTGCATCCGTTTGGAAAAAATGTTTTCATGTTTTGCCTCGATCAAGCCTCTTAGCGAATCGAGAAAGTCCTTTCAGTGGATGTTACTGAGTAACATCCCTTGAATGGCCCCGGATGGAAGGCCCCACCGCTGCCCCATCTAACAACTTTTTCAAAATATTGGCGGGAATAATAGAAAATTATCCATACGGTGATGTCTGTCTCTGTCGAATAATAGTGAATGCTTGCAACAACAACAACAACAACAACAACTTTATTTCAGTACCCTACATTGATTTACATGATACAAAAATGGAGAGAGTACAGGGTACCCATAATAACCATTGAGGGCTAAAAAGATAGGTCAGCCGTACTAAGGTCATCAATTCAAAAAGGGTCGGGGACCACACACCACTCACAGCTACACAAAACATTCCCAAAAGAAAAACTAGTGGAAAAGGAAAGACAGCAAAAGAGAGCTAAGTATGCCAGTATTAAATAAGGGAAAGCCAAACTTGTACTAAGCTGTCTGATAATTTCCCGGGGGGAAGGGTGGGTGGGTAGTTAACAAATTTTTATACGGGGAAGCTCCGCCCGAGATCCAACCCTTACCCTTTTATATACCATTTTTCACGAAAAAGGTACCCCTTTCCTATAACTTCTGTTGACAAATAGTACCCCTTTTACATACCTCGTTTAGAACATTGCATCCAATGCATTGTCATTTAAATAGGAATCAATCCTAAAATAGAACGTTTCCCCGACTTTATAAAGTCATAAAATCTATCTGTTCGGCCCGTTGGGCCATTTCACAGACCCAAATGACAGATTTCCCTACCCTTTTAAATACTTCAACGAGTAAAATTCCTACTCTTTCATATACCAGAAGCCTGGAAAAAGTACTCCTTTCGGACGGAGCTTCCCCGTATAGGACCTTAAAGGGAGTAACACCTCCCCCTTCCGGGGGGATAATCTATAATCTGTTTCATCCGCTGAAGAAGCCCAGAAGCTAATGAAAAGACTCGAAATACCGTAAAATTTTCCTACTACAAGGCAAGCAAAGGCTTTGGAGGCACAGGAGAGAAGTAGCTATATTATATACAAAGTGGGCCGTTGCCCCAATCTTACCTTTTAGTTACTAAGAAAGCAAAACTTAATAATAACCTGTACCGATCAAAGTCGCGGTATTCCCGCCCCTCTCATATGGAAGCCTCACCCCAGGGTTAAAGCACTAGAAGTCTGGAAGCCTTAGAAAAACGGCGCAGCGTTTTGAAACTCAGGGAAAAGGGGAGGAGGGTGGGGGCACATAGTACAACAAGCCAAGCGCATAGCCCTACTTCAATTCCCGAAAATGTCATTTGCCTTGTTCGTTGGCACAAGCAAACCTCTGTGAGATCTTAACAGTGTCCATAGAATCAGTAATCGACAGTTGGGTACGCGTTCCTCGTAGTTCCTGTTGTGGTTCGTCCTCGGCTGGAGAGTTTTTTGTTGTCCTTTGTAATGCCGCGTCCATCTCGCTCGACCAACAACAGCTTATCCGCGGGCTTTCCTACCGAAGACTCCCTTCCATCGACGGCAACGTCTGAAAGTCCTCTGACGAGTACGGCTTCTAGTTCTTGGTCGCCTCAGTTGGCTGACTCTCTCACCGAGGCTGTGGTTCGGGCAATCGGGAAACTCCATTCCCGCCATCATTTCATCGATCCAGAGCAACGCCTCCTCGCACGTTTCTTCTTCGGTTCCGGGCGTTTCTGCTAGCGGGGCACCATAACCTTTATTTTCTTCAGCGTCCGGTTTGAGTGCGAGTACAAGTGACGGTGTTTCTTCGGTGGCTTCAGGTACGTTTACCCTTCCCGCGTTTGTTCCTACGTTTACGCCAGTGTCGGCCATTACCGCCTCGAGCTCGGCCCACCTCGTGGCTCCTACTCCCCCCAGTTTCGTATGGCCGGCGTTACTAGCAGTCTTCCGAGCCTTGAGTCTTCGCTGGCATCACCTCAGTCTGAGAAGGCTTTTATCGTTGGTCCGGGGCATGCCCCTATTCCTTCACAATTGGTGTCAAAAATTATAGGTGACCAGTTTGTCGAATTGGCAGATTTGTTGTCCACGAACCTCCGAGCGGTGGAGCAGGAGCCGCAAACGTTCCTCGATGGTAAGCTCATGTAGCTACAGCAATTAGCCACACGTTTAATTGACTTATTTTTTATCCGAAATCTTTGTTTTCTGCACGCGCACGCTAACGCAATTTGTAGATTCAACTAGAAAGTTCTTTCTAGCGCAAGCTAGGACGCACGCGAAAGCGCCACGCAATTTTGTTGTTAAAAGGTTAAGTTTTTTGTTGTTGCGGTTAGTTGACGCAAGTTCTTTGTCAATCCATTTCGAGAAGCCAAGAAGTTTTCCTTGTTCTAGTGATTTTAAGGACATCACCAAGGTAAATATTTACGCTACATTTTCGTATTTAAGTAAGCGCTTTGTAATTTTATCCTTTAAACCAATTTTATCGCTCATTGCATTGTAAAATCGGCAATCTTAAGTTTTTACCTTTCCGTCCTGTTACTTTCACGGATGAAATGTATTTCCGTAATTTCACAACCTTATTTGTAAAATACTCTTACCTTTACTTTAGTTCTCACGGTGTTTATGGAAGTAAGGTTAAGAAAAGAAATAAACATCAGTACGTGAACGAGTGTCATTTCATATCATCTCACTGGAGCAATAGTGAGAACTTGATGTACCACAGAAGATCGATCAAGCGAAGATCCGAAGTGGGCAAAACAAGCAAGTTCAATCAAAGGTCAAGTCAAGTCAAGATCAAGGTCAGACGTCCGACTAAAAATAGATCCTCAAGTCAAGTACTGACGTTCAGCGCAGCGACAAATCACAAGTCAAGTAAAGTAGAAGTTAAGAAGCTCTGTTGCGAGAACGTTCTAATTTATATGGACACACATAAATAAGAAGATTCTGCATGAAGTAGCTGCAGAAATAAGTTTAAGTAATAGACTACATTTTAAGTCGAAGTGAAGTACTGTCACACCGCGGGTGTCACGCACAAATATCTTTAAGAAGTACAGGCGCTGCCTGAAGTATTAAGTTTTAAAGTTCAAGTTAAAAGAAGTTACAAGAGATTACTCTAACGTATTAAGATTTACTTAGACCAAATGTCTAGCTCAAGTGAGGTAACAGAATTTAATGCCGTAGAGAAGTTAGCGTTACCTACAGAAGGCGTAGTTCAAGTAAACAGTAATCTATCAGCAGTAGATAATAATAATGTAAATAGCATAGTCGCAGGTTCCATCCAAGAGCAGCAAACGCGAATCCCAGAATCCGAACTTTGACAGAGAGAGGCCAAGCCTATCAAGAAGATCGTCAAAGAGAGCGAGATAAAGAAGAAGAACAGCTAATAAAGAGATTCTACGAAGCCTTTGACGCATGGAAAGCGCAAGCCTCAGACATCGAGCGGTATATTGCCGATCAGCTCCCACTTTCACAAACTGACAAAGACGAAAATATTCTCCGCTTGAAGGATCTCCACGTCAGTGCTCTAACGATATACGAGAAGTTACGGAAGTTTCGGCCTCCTGGACAAGAAATTAGCCAAAAGATAGATGCATGCGATGCATTAACCAGGACTCTGGAACATCAACTGAAACAATCTGAAGATAGCAATCCTATGTCACGCAACGATAGAAGGTCTGTCCGAAGTAGATCCATTATCTCAGGTCACTCAAGGGTCACTAAGTCTTCAAGAGTATCTTCACTAATCGACCTAAGGAAAGCCGATGCGGTTGCAGAGCTAGCCGCAAAGGAAGCCGAACTTAACGCCCTCCAGGAAGAAGCAAAACGTAAGGAAGAAATCGCCAAGATGGAGGCGCAACTAAGGGCCGAAACGACAAGGATCGAATCAGAACTGGCAAGAAGAAAACTGGAGTTAGAACAGATGGAAGTGAAGAAACAATTGGATGTGGCAAGGGCGAGGCTAAACGCGTACCAAGTAGCCAAAGAGATCGAAAATGGGAAGGATCCCGTTGAAGACGATCTCTCGCGCGCTTCCCTTATTCAGACAACCCCAGCATCCCTACCTCCGCTGCAGGAGCCCAGGCATTTAAGATCGGACGTAACCGCATCAAGGGTAACACAGCCCACACAGCAGCTTCAAGACGTGCACAAGTCTCCTGGTGTCCTTCAAGGGTCATCAAGCGCTGATAAAACCGCCGAGATCGTCACTACAATAGCCGATTCATTCAGTTTAAGTCGCCTCCCAGCACCCGAACCAACCACCATCAGCGGTGAAGCCATCCATTATTCGGATTGGAAGTCGTCCTTCTATGCTCTCATACACCGAAAAACTTACCTCTGTGTGACAAGATGTATTACTTAAAACGCTACGTTTGCGGATCAGCCAAGCAAGCCATAAGCGGACTTTTCCTGCAAAGTTCATCGGAAGCCTACGAACAAGCGTGGAGCTTACTAAACTAAAGCTTACAGAGACAAGCTACAAGGATGGCCAAAGATCGGTGCTAAGGATCATCAAGGTCTCAGAGGATTCGCTGATTTCTTAACAAGTATAGAAACAGCAATGCAAACAATCAAGGATCTAACCATCCTAAATGACTATATGGAAAATCAGAAGTTGCTTGGCAAGTTACCAGACTGGCTTATCTCTCGATGGAACAGAGAAGCCACAAGAGAAATGAAAGAACACAAGAGATATCCAGATTTCAAGACTTTTACGGCCTTTATCAATGCTCAAGCGGACCTCGCATCCAATCCGATCTCTTCTTGTAACGCAGTGAAGGAAGTAGGAACTGCATCAGTTAAAACGCATCAAGCACCAAAGTAGAAAGATGTCGGTGATATGACCGTTCATTCTATTCAGAAGATAGAAGAGAACTCTAAAGAGCCAAAGGAAACTCCGAAACCAAAGCCGCAGTGTACATTCTGCAGGAAGACAGATCATCAGTTGGATGCATGCCCTACGTTTAAGACTGAGACACTTGGAAAAGACTGCGATTTGTTAAGGAAAACAAGTTATGTTTCGGATGCTAAAGTAAAGGTCACATGCCCAGTGATTGTCGAAAGAAGTTGACTTGTTCGTCATGCAACAAGAAGCACCCCACTTGCCTTCATCAAGAAGGAAGAGAAACAAGAAAGACAGAAGAAAGAAGAGTGGGCTGCGAGTCATCAAACGTTCCAAAACCCACTTCTTGCAATTGCACATCTCAAGGAGCCTCAAGTAGCACCTCAATGATAGTTCCTGTCTGGCTATCGTCATCTAAGAGGCTCGAAGCGGAAGTGCTCGTATATGCTATCTCAGACACGCAAAGTGACCCCACATTTGTTTTGAGAGAAACCTGCGATGAACTTGACGTAGATAAACAACCAACTAAGCTTCGACTGAGCACTATCACTAGTCAAGAGTCAGTTGTCGACAGTCAAAGAGTCTCGGGTCTTCAAGTAAGAGGATACAATTCTGACCTGAAGATTCCAATACCCGTTGCTTACACGAGTACATCGATACCAGCCGATGAAGACCATATACCGACTACTACCACTGCTAAGAATTGGAGTCACCTGCGACCAATTGAAGACAAAATGCTCGACCTATTGGACTGTAACGTGGGCTTGCTAGTCGGATATGACTGCTCTCAAGCATTAACCCCAAGAGGAGTTATTTCTGGCGAGAGTAACGAGCCGTATGCTATCAAGACAGACCTCGGATGGAGTATAGTAGGTGGTGGACAGGCCAGGAGTGGAAGGTCGTTTTGCCAAAGGGTTGCTGTAAGGGAGCTACCTGCTGTAACAATGAATGACATCATACGAATACTCGAGTCAGACTTCAAGGAAAGTAAAAATGATATGAAGACCTCTCAAGAAGACTTGCAATTCCTTAAGATTATGGAAGAAGGAATCAGGAAGACCGAAAGCGGACACTGTGAAATGCCACTGCCATTTAAGGAGCGGCCACTGTTGCCTAACAATAGCTCAATGGCGATGACTCGCCTTGAACATCTCAAACGAAAATTCCTAAAGGACTCTAAGTACAAAGAAGACTACATCAAATTCTTGAACGAAGTGTTTAGCAGAGGAGATGCCGCAGAAGCGCCAGTTGTCGCACAAAATGATAGAGTGAAGTGGTACATACCTCATCACGGCGTCTATCACCCAAAGAAAAACAAGATAACAGTCGTATTTGACCGCTCGGCAAGATTCAAGGGAGCTTCGTTGAACGATCACTTACTCAGCGGACCTGACCTCACTAACAATTTGACGCGCGTACTCTGCAGATTCAGAAGATATCCTTACGCTATTACTTGCGATGTAAAGATGTTTCACCAATTCGTTGTAAGCGAAACTGACCGTGACTATTTGTGATTCCTTTGGTGGCCCAATGGTGATATCAAGCAAGAGCCCAAGGAGTACAGAATGAAAGTCATTTATTTGGGGCAACATCTTCGCCTAGTTGTGCCAGCTACGGCTTCTAATACATTGCTAATGAAGAGAAAGAGGCGTACCCTTCAGCTGCAAGGTTCATTACTCATGACTTCTATGTTTGATGACGGACTAGCCAGCGTTGAATCCGCCGAATAAGCAAAAGACCTCATCAGAGGAGCTCGTGAAATTTGCAAGAAAGGTAGCCTTCGTCTTCACAAATTTATAGCAAATGATCGGGAAGTACTTGAATCAGTACCAGAAAGTGGAAGAGCAATGAACATCATCCTGGATCTGCCGTCAGAAGAACTCCCCATAGAAAGAGTTCTTGGTATTCAGTGGTCAGTGGGGTTAGACTGCTTCGGCTTCTCCATCGTTCTAAAGGACCAACCCTTAACTAGAAGGGGAGTACTAGCAACGGTTGCCTCTGTCTATGATCCTCTCGGATTTCTAGCTCCCTTGGT